TTTAAGCACTGGTTATAGTGGGGCGAGCGATGGTAGTGATGGTGAGTGGGAGTGGTGGTGGTGAGAGACAGTGATAGTTGTGATGAATGATGACAACCAGTTATAGGTGACATTGGTGATGGTGGTTAGGGTACAGTGGTGTTATGTGGTAGGAGTGATGGTGGTATAGTGATGGTGGTGATAAGGTGGTGACAACGGTGGTAAGGTGGGGCACTAATGGGGGTGGTGGTGGTGGGATTACAATAGTGGAGATGGTTGGGCAGCGATGGTGATTGTTGTGGAAGAGGTGGTGGTGGTTGTTATGGAAGAGGTAATGGTGGGTTGGCAATAGTGGTGGCAAAAACGGTGGTGGTGAGGCGATGAGTGTGGTAGCATGACGACAATGGTGGCGGTGGTGGAAGTGGTGATTGTGGTGGGGTGGTGGTGGTAGAGGTGTTGGTGGGGCAGTTTTTAAATACTATTTTTTTAAGTACTTAGGAGAAATTATAAGTATCAAAAATACTTTTGAAAAGTCAATTCAAACATATCCTTAGGCCCCTATTTTTCATATTAAATTCGGAGTGTTAATATTAGCTGTCAGATTAACTTCAAAATAAAATTTAAAAATATCTCAACCGCGAATAACAAAAGTCATTTTGTTTATCTTTTGAGATTTGAATTGTATTGTATAAATATGTTCCTTGTGTGACTTGTCATTGCAGAGAATTATTTCATTTTTTTAAATAGCTTCAAAGCATTCTTATTCAATTTATCTCCTCATATAATCTAATCATAAACTTGCTTATTGTTTGATTTTCATTCGTCTATGTGAGAAGAAGTGCATGAGGGCATGCTGCTTTAGTGTTGTTTTTCCCCCATTGCACCAGTTACATATTGTCTTAATAGTATCTTAACTGGTTCAAGTGTCATTTTTAAGTTTACATAGTCCTGCAAAGTATGTGATTAATGAAATATTGCAGGGTGGCCTGGTGTTTATATAATTGTTACGTTTCCATTATTTTTTGCCGTGAAGTTTGGAGATTGGGGGCATGATATATGCTTGCTGCTTGCGACATTATACTTCATAATCAGACAAAAGAAACTTTCCAGTCAGGTAATCATAAATTGTATTTGGGGCAAATTATCTTCTATTGAAATATTTCACATAGCTAAACCCATGAATATAATCTTGACTTAACTGAAACAAATAAAGCACAAATAAATATTTAATTTGCAAGTTTATTGAAAAAGTGTGGATAATATGAACAATGATTTTTCCATCTCTCTTCCACATTCTTGTATTTCTTCGTCACTCTTTTTTATTTTGAATAAGTGGACAATAGAATTTTTGGGTCATGTGTATTGATTATTATCCATCTCAATTAGTGTTTCCAGCAAGAAACTGTAAATAGAGCTCTTGTTCTCCACTATTGTTCGTATTTTTATATTCATAGCCTTGCTCAATGCCTCACGGTCTAGGCTATTGATGGTGATATAATTTAGGCAATTGCTCAAATGTATGTTTTATGTTTTGTTTATTTCGACATGTCAACGTAAAAATGGAGAATAGAAAATGGTGTTTTTAATCTTTTTTATGATAGATAATTACTAATTTTAGCTAAGTAAACCCAAAAATTTATTCTCTAACCCCGCCAATGAACACTATTAAAAATTAATTTCTTTTAAACGAAAAAAAGCTTACATGAACGCTTAATGTTATCTAAGTTTTAATGGAAAAATTAATGTCTTAAAAATCAGCATACAAGTGGACAATAGAACCTAATTTTATGTGTTGTTTCATGTCCAAGTGTTGCTTGCTTATTTTGATACCGATTTTGTTAAAGTCGCGTGGCGAATTTATTCCATTTGGTTGTGGGAAAAAGGAAATGTGGCTACTTACATATAATTACTATTTCAAGATCCTTTGCAAAAAATAAATCATCGAGTACAGTTCTGCTTCTTGATGTTCCTCCAATTATGCTAAGAGATACAAGATATAAGGATGAAATCGAGAATTATGTATTTGAGTCAACATGGAACATTATTTTCTTTAGTATTTTTTGGGGGTTTTTTTGATTCTTCACTAATTATTTATCAATGTTTACAAAACAAGTGAATTTATAAAATTGTGGTTGATGATTTTAATATATATAATTTTTTATAAAATACAGTTTATACACAACGCACATGTACATCAACTAGTATATATAATAATGTAGGACAAAAAAACAAAAAAAAACTAATATGACAAGTAATTCCACACATCCTCAGGGGTATATTTGACCTCAAGGGCCAAATTTCTCTCTCTTTCGATCACAAGGCTACGAGCACCGTAGAACTCTTGATACACCCCAACAAGCTTTCTGGCTATAGAGACTTTGATTTTGTCCCGAAGCTTACTATCGGGTACGACGCACACAGACTGCCTCTTGTATGACTGATCAAACAACGAATTAAATCTCTTAAAAACCTCATTCACTTCCTCCGGCGACGTTACGGCCGTTGGATCCTCTGGGAGGGAACCTATGATGCGGCTCCATGCTATCCATTCGTAGTTCAGTGCAAATTGTTTGACTTTTATTTCGTGCTTAGTCAACCATTCGTCGCCGAGTAAATACTTTATGTTCGACGTACGAACTTTAGAAACGACGTAGTATAAGTTGTTGGCTAAGAGGGGGTAGGAGAGTGAATCGTCTTTGTAGTGCTTTGCCTTGCCGCCGTCGAGTTTGCAGAGTAAAAAGAGTATTAGCCACGCGAATCAAAGAGAAATCGTTAGGAACGGAAATTCTTCGAAATCGGACGTGTCGAAGTACGAACTCTGACAAAGAAGATTTTGCAGGCAGTGGTAAATCGGCTAAAATATCTGCCAGTATATTGCTATAATCGCCGAGGAGAGAGAGATAATACATCACATCAGTCGTTAAAGCATGAATTCCAGCTTCGACGAACGGTGATTTTGAAGTGATGATGCTTAAAAGAAATTTCAATTAAATATGAGGCCAGGATCCGAGGTCAGATCAAGAGGTCCGACAAGGCACACAAGGCTCAAGGGACCAAATTTAGAGCTCCCTCCAGACAATTCAATAACAAAGGTGATAAGGAAACAGTTAGATGATAGTGGAGCTAGAGTCCAGACACAAAGCTCTCAACCAACTAAGATTCTCTCCCAAATCAATGAAGATTCTACTAAGATAACGCCTAAGACTCCGT